GCCATGGAAGACTCGGCTGACAAGTTTGCCGGAACAGTCGGTGGATGGAACAGTCGGTGGAAGGCTGACAGATAAGACAGGAGTCGTGCCAGCGCTCCCCTCGGGAAACAGCCAGCCTGGTGTCTGATTGCAGACACCTCAGTTCTTTTCATAGTAGGTCTGAAAATAGCTCAGGATTCTTTAAATGTCTGGAGATGTGGGCGACAAAGTTTAGTGAAAAAAAAAAAACAACTATACCTCCAAGAACCCCAATTCTGTCTTGTTATATCACTCCGCAGGCTGCTGGATGCCAGGCACAGTTCGACACCCCCACAGCTCTTCGGGGGACCATTATTCTGGAGTGCTTATCCTGGTGATCCAACATGCTGCTCCCAGGGCCCTTTGTGTTAGCAACTTCGTGTGTGCTACAAGTCTCCCCAGTCCCTATTGCCTGTCCTTGCCCCACTGAGAGGCAGCTCTTCTCTAAAGGGACTTTCTCTTCCTCTTGGAGCTTAAAGGGCTCATGCAGATGTTCTCCCTCCTGAGCTGTGACCCTGCATTTATGTAGTTGGATTCATCATAGCTTCAACAGAAGCTAGGGAAATCGCTAATGGAGCTCAGACACTAAGATATCAGAAGACTTATATTGGAGGGCTTGCAGAAAAGAAAAGGTCAGCTGCTGAGCCTTGATTGGGGGTTTACTGGTAATTATCAAGACAAGAATTGTGAGGTCTGAGAAGAGGGTGAGAGCCTGTAAACAGCCATGATGGATGGGACCAATATGTGACCATACAGTAATGGAAACAGTGAAACCTGGTTACGGTTGATGCAGGAATGAGGTCGAGTGTAAGAGACACCCCTGGACATTGTATCATCACAGGCAGACTGAAAACCACCTGTGTCAAAACGACCTGGAGGGCTGGGGCGAGAACTCAATAGTAGAGTACTTGCCTAGGATGTGACACACACCCACACGCACACACGCACGCACGCACGCACACATACACATGCATGCGCATATACACATGCACACACACTCACACACATACACTCACACACACATATGCGTGTACACGATCAATCAATCACCCAGGAATTTTATCTGCAGATGCCTGGCTCTACCTCACAAGTCTGGTTTTGTGGATGGATGAAGCTCAAAGCTCTACTTGGCCACTTGGCTAAAACCTCCCCAGATAAATCTGATGTGAAGTAGCTCTGCAGTGTGTACGACTTACTACGAATGACGCCCTTTCTGCTTATTGCCCCTGAACTGAATATGGTTCCTGGCAATTTCTCAGCTGCTGATAAATGATTGCTATGGAAACTGACTAGATCAATACGTGGGGAGGAGTCAGGATGACTGACAGTTCCCCCAGTGGACAAGAAGCACTGTGATTCCATGAACGGAAAGGAGGAAGACAGGAGGAAGTTGGAGCCTGAGTGGTAAATCCATATTAGACAGGATGACTTCTGTGGTTGCCTAACGTGCCCTGGGGCCTGGGTGTAAGCTGGAGTCAGGCTGGAGACCTGGGAGCCATGCATTCTGAGGCGGCAAGAGCGCCTCCTTCTGATGGAAGTGCAGTGGAGAAGGGAAGGAGGAGACTAAAGAACCTGCCTAGCCAGCAACACGTAGCATCCAAGAATTGGACAAGTTGGAGGTTTTTCTGTGGGGTCAAAAAATTGGGGGGCTTGAGAACCATGGAGAGGCCTCCATTCCCCAAGAATGGCCGAAGCACAAGTGAGTCCTAGACACAGAATAAGGAGATGGGGGAAGACGGCTGAGGTCCTCTGAGACTGCTGGTAACCCATCTCCACCTTCTCAGGAGGAAGGAGAGAAAGGAGCTGTAAATGGATGATGGACTAGCTGAGATCCCTGGCCCTGGGGACTTAGTGGCCCCGCGGGTGCTCCTTGGATGCTGGCCATTGGCAGGGTCACATCCCTTTTTCTGTGTCTTTGTGTCCCCTGTATACGCATGGCTGGAGCTCCTCTCTAGACAACCCCTGCCCTCTCACATAGTCCCTCTGGCAGCAGAGCTCCTCCTCGTGGAGGGGCCCGAGGTTTCCCACTCTGTCTTGGTGACGCCAGGAGCTAGCCACACATCAGTCCACCCTGCCCCTCCACGTCCCTCAGCCTCACACCTGCTGGCTGCATGCCTGTGGAACTGCCTTTTCCTCCTTGCCTCACCCCCACGCCTACCCTGGATCTGGCCTCACTGTGGTGGTGACCTCGGACGGGCCTGGACTTTGAAGTTGTTTCCCGTCACATTCCGATATCATAGAGCTAGTCTCAGCGACAGCAGAATTCAGCTTAGGCTATGCAGAGCTGCTCTGACCTGCTTTGGTACCTGGCTGCTTCTCAACCAAGTTGACTTGACTATTTTTTTTTAATTAAAATTTTTTCATACAACTTTTTTTGGTCATGTTTTTCCTATTCCCAACTCCTACCACATTCTTCTCTGTCCTCACATTTTCCAGCAGTCTTGCCTTCTGGACTTTGTTTGTGTAGGTCCCTGAACGAGAGAAAGGGGGAGGGGAATGGCAGGGGAAGAGGAGGGGAAGAAGAAGGAGAAGGGGAGGGGAGGGAGAGGGAGGAGCCTCCTGTCTTCTTTCTGACCTCAACCAGTCTCTTTGACTCTGCCTCCTCCCTAATCTCAATGAATATCGCCTCTTGGTCTCTGGTTTTCTCTCTGTTCCTTTTCTTTGTTTTCTCCTGTATCTTCTTTCTCTTCTTTTCTCTTTTTCCTGCCTTCTTCCCATCATCATTTTTTTTGATAGGAATTTCCACAACTCGGGAGTGAACCTTGCCATGTGCTTGGGAGAAGCCAGCTGGGAGGACAGCAATATTGATGAACAGCAGAAGGTGGGAAGCCAGCTTTTCAGATCTGCAGCACCATGCAGTAATTGTCCAGGGCAGGTCCTCAACAGAATGCTTTTTAAAGATTCTGAAAGTAAGAGATGGACTTGACACAGCCACAACCTGGGAACAGCCTCGATGCCTCTCAACTGAAGAATGGATAAAGAAGATGTGGTACATTTACACCATGGAGTATTACTCAGCAGGGGAAAATAATGGCATCTTGACATCCGTGGGCAAATGGGTGGAGCTAGGAAACATCATATTGAGTGAGGTAACCTAGACTCACTCATAAGTGACTTTTAGACATAAAACAAAGAAAAACCAGCCTACAATTCACATCCCCAGAAAACCTAGACAACAATGAGGACCCTAAGGGAGACATACATGAATCTAATCTACATGGGAAGTAGAAAAGGACAAGATCTCCTGAGTAAGTTGGGAGCATGGGAACCATGGGAGAGGGTAGAAGGAGGGGGGGGGAAGGGAGGGGAGTGGAGAAAAATAAAAACAATAAAAATTGAAGAAAGAGATGGGCTTTGAGCACATTATTTTTGAGGAGTGGGTGCTTGTTTTGCCTTGTGAGGTGCAAAGCATCTTGGCCCCTAAATATCCCAGATACATGTTTATTCTCCTGTTGGGAGTCAAGTCACACCCCGCTAGATGGGAGCCTGAATCACAGTAAGAGTCCAGCGCCACCTTGGTTCTGGCATTGACCTTCACCTCGGCTTTCCAGGGGATGCCAGCAGAATGCAGCGCCCTGCAGTGAGTTACCTGTGAGACGTCTGAGCTACACACTGAGAACCTCCCAGTAACTCAAGGAACAGGAGCGAGCATCCACCTGGCTTCACAAACAAAAGTGAACCAAATGGAATGCCCATTTTCTTCCACTCTGCCTAATAATTTTTAATAGCAGAAATTTGGATAGTGTATAAGAAGTGTGATAACTTAAAGCCCATGGGAGACAATGGCTGCTTATTTAAACTCAAGGCACTTAGACCAGACAACTAGGCCCAAGCCGGTCCCCAGGACCCTTATCCCTCTCTGCCTGCCGAAGAGAGGGTGAAACCTCTATTCTCCCACAAAAATATCAGAGATGGGGGGAGCTCTTGTGCTATAATGAGGACACTGAGAGGCACGCTGAAATTCTGCTTTCATGTTGAGGTAAAAAACCGGCTTTAAGGGTTATCCCATCCATCTTCCCCGACTCTCTGAAGCAATGGAAAGAAAACTGCAAAAGGCCAGGAGTTAAGGCACAGTCAAGTAGTGCCCCTCTCACTGGTTGCCCTAGGGCCTCCGCTAGACCTTAGCCTCTGAGTTCCAGGTGGGGAGAACTAAGCGAGTTGCACGAATCCAGCAATATTCATACCCATCACCCTGGATGCTCCGAGTTACTACAGACCTGGCTTACTATCAGTAACACTTGAGTAGCTAAAAGATTGGCACTCTGGAACAGGGCGGGGCTGTAAGAGCAGGCTGTGGAGGCTCTAAACAGGGCACCGAGTAAGGAGGAAATCTTTCAGGAGCCTCTGGTCCACTGGGGACCCCCCAAAATGTAACAAGCCTTCTACCAAGCACCCAGTGACCCCAACTCTTCACAAAAGCTCCTCCTGCTGCTGCCTCCGCCAAGAAGAAGAAATTTCAGCCTTGGGGCTGAGGAGACCGTCTTTTAGATCTTCAAAACCCATGTAAGTGTGAGGAGGCAGGATGATCTTCTACTATAATCCCAGCAATGGGAAGCGGAGACAAGCATTCTAGCAAGCTATCTAGCTAGACTAGCAAGGCAAATGTGCTAGGTTCAAGTGGGAAATCCTACCTGACTATATAAGGTGTGCAGTGATTGAGGAAAATAACCAACTTCAACTTCTAGCCTCCACACACATGTGAACATGAACACACACATGTACACACACATAAACACACACACAAACAAAACCAAACAAACATCAGTTCAGCCTTTACAGGCAACCCAGTCCCTTGCTTCCCAATGTCCATGTGTAACTGACGGGGCCTAAGGAAGTTAAGTAATTGTCTTCTGTTTAACCTACACACTTGCAAGGCTGGCATCCTGACTATGTCAGTCATTCCAGAATCGAGACACGGCAGACTCAAGCACAGGACTCAGACAGAACGGTGCAGCGGAGAGCCGCAAGGATGCTGCACAGTAGTGTGTTAATGAGTGTTAAAACTGACATTGCAAATACAGCGTTCTCGATGTTTAAAATTACAATCGTGGAACAAGTCATGCTGTTCACATAAAAGGAATACCGGTTAAATCTTCAGGTAGAGACCACACAGCCTGTACAGATCACCGCCATCCCAAAGTGCAGAGCAAGTCATTTCCATTGAAATGAAGCAATAATTAACAGGCAGTTCAGTGATTCGAGTGCTATGATAAGTAGAAATAACACATTCGGATATTAAACACCAATTACTACCTGATGAGCCAGGCATAAGCTCGGCGTTCGACACGCCCCTCCTCGGCAGCAAACCTGGGAAATGAGGACGTCTGATGGGAACACAGTCCAAGACTAGACCATGTGTACAAGGAGCACGTGCCATTCCCATCTCAGATGCTGCGAGGAAAGCTCGGCCCCTGTATCTGTCCCAGTGACATTGAGCAGATCAAATGCCAGGAGTAAAGCTGCCCTTCAGTCACTAGCTGGACACACGTGAACATGTGTGTGCGCGAACATGAGTGAGAGAGAGAGAGAGAGAGAGAGTGTGTGTGTGTGTGTGTGTGTGTGTGTGTGTGTGTGTCCCGCCAAGGATGGATTGATCACTGGTCACTTTGACAGTCTTATGGGGACACTTCATCTTTGTGGCCGTTATTCCCAGGAACAGAGCAGAAAATTAATCTGCCCTGCCCTGGTTATCAAGAGAAACTGCTGCGGTGGGGGCGTTATCTAACATGGCCAATCAGAGGCTTTGCTTCTGAGCCAGCACCTGTGAACGTCATACCTTGGTGTGGTGTGGTGGTGAGGAAAGGGTTCCTGGAGTCCCTGGCATCACTATTCACTTTCTAGGGGCGCTCACTGCAGTGTCCCCGTCAGCTGGGGTGTCCTCCCTCGAGGTCTCCGGAACCACTGCTTGGAGAACTCAATGCCAATGGGACTTTTCAGCTCAGAGGTGACTAAAAGTCTCGGTGGGCAAAGAAATATTTTTTACAAGTATACATACATGTATATATATACAAGAAATGTTAAAAAGACAGTCTCTAAAGCACTTTGGGATTTCCCCAAAGAAAGGCACCAGATAAAACAAGTCATTACCAAAAAGAAAAGTCAAGTTTTCCAGCTTTTGTACCCTTGTAGGTACCCACTAGAGGTATCTCTTTTTCGGTGGTAAACCCATTCATTTAGAAAAAAATCTTTACGGGAGTGGCTAAGTTATTCTGCCTCTTGCCTCATTTCTCCTTTGCATCAGCTTCATGGTCAGTGACCATGGATATCATGCTGTGGCCTTGTACCATCAGCCTCAGCAGACGGAATGGTTCTCACAGGTTTACGCTATCACCTGCCTTCAGTGCATCTGGGGACAGTTTTGCAAATGATCTGTCTTCCAGGACTGAAGATACTAGCCGACAAGAGTTCCATGTGCAAACAACCCTGTCTTCTGACTCCCCGACAGGGACCTTTAAGTCACCTTTGGAACCACACACGTTGGTGTGTCTGCATGGAGGCACTAGGAGGTTGCCACCCTCTGCCCTTCGTGAGACTCCAGTCTGATGAAAGATTTGAACCGGAGGCTCAAGGACATTAAGTGGCCAGTGCATTCACCCAACAAATCGCCCACACTATTGTAGCCATGACAACACTTAGTACACAAAGCCCTCTGAGGAGATCCACTACATACCCCATAAGGTATGGATTATCCTTACCCGACTAAAACACAAAATGGACCAATTGAGAGTAGGTCCAAACTTTGGATAAAAAAGTCCATTTATCTCCTTATTTAGATCGTAGATTCTCACAGCCTTGCCAAAGACTTAACAACGAAAGCCACTGGAAAACTATTGGATTATGTAGAGGATGATGAGAAAGAATTATCTTAAAAGGGGCCCAGCTTCCCCTTCATAACATCTGTGCTGACTGTGTGCAGAAGAGGAATGCATTGGGAAAGGAAATGGTGCTAACCCTTCAACAAAGCTTAGTGGTCGAAAGGTTTAGGCTTTTCAAGAAATTCACAGTTATTTATATTTTATGAAGTAGTAGTTTTTTGGTTTTATAACTCTTTCTTTTCTTCTGGCCTCTCCACAAGAAAACCCTGCAATTGCAATGAAAATAAGAACTCCAGGGCCCCCACCGTGGGTCAGCCACTCTGTCCTCACACACATCTGTATTACTCTTCTTCACTACCAGGTTTCCACATCACGGCAGGAGCTCAAGGCAATCAAAACGTCTACGTGCTATCCTGTATCCTAGAAGCAGAGCTACCTAAAGAGAATTCTGCTTGGAATTAAAAGGGCTGTCCTATTATGAGCTTTCAGAGCAGGCAAGAAAATGTTTAAGCTACTGCCCTTGGTAGCAACCTAAGGATGCTCACCTCACAACAAGGCAACACTAACCTCTTCTAGTTGAGAAAGACACACAACCTTATTCCTAAACATCTTTAAGAAGAAATACTTGAAAAACATGCTGACACAGAAAACTTTGGTCAAAATGGCCTGGATTAATAATCTCAGCCAGAAATAAATGTCTCTATGATTCCTTCAGGAAAAATAGAGGCCTGACCATCAATGAAAAGGCTTAGCCTATATAAACTCTGTTTATAGCATTCTAGGGTTTGGTCCATGTTTAGCTAAAGTCCCTGTTCCTAATCTATTTGTTTAGGGAAAAAATTCAGTCTTTACTACATATGGACTGAATAACATTCTCTTATACTGACACTTAGGAGAGACACATCAATACACATCTTCCTAAATACTGACTGGCATATCCATGCACATCACAAGGACAGAATCGAGGAAAAAGAAGACTTGCATTAGTTAAGTGTGCTTAGCTTTGCGATCTTTCTATTTTGGTATGAAAATTAAGGGAAAGTAGTGGGCAAATAATTGAGATTCTGTTTTCACAAAGTTGTGATCCGAATCTCATGATATCCTTGCTGACCCCATAGACAGATGTGCCTCCACTGGACAGACTTGTTGGGGCTTTTTGTATAGAGTTCACACAAACAACCGCAGAAATGGGAGCACAGACAACTCTACTCACAGGTAATACTGGGGCATCCACACTAGAATAGTGTACATATTGGACAGAGAGATCAGCATTCTATGTACTCATCTGGCAGAAAGATGAACATTTTATGCCCATAATGCAAAGACCAGTGAGTGTCACTTCACTGAAAGATGCAAAGGCGTGGTGTTCGACACACCATCCTCTAAAAAAAATGACTCTAAACATTGCAAAAGCAACCTAGGGCTCATTTCCCATGCAGCTCTCCCTCTAGGGTCGGGATGACTCTTTATGTCATAACCCTACGGTGCCTGGATTGTGCCAAAGGCACAGGAGGCAGATCAGCAAGGTACGTCGCGCAATCACAAACCATCCCAACTAGTGTAGAGAATCATCTAAACTCAGTTCACTGGGCGAGCTCCTGCTCATGTTTGTCAGGCTGGCCATGAGGGATTTAACTTTATGGGCATAGTAGTCCCTTAAGTTGACCGACGGGACCTCCTTCATTCCATCTCCAAAGTCACAGCTACGCATGGCGCTCTCGAGTTGCTTCTGGCGCCGATAAAAGTGGGAGAACTTATTGAAGATCAAGGTGATGGGTAAGACCACCACCAGGATGCCTGCCAAGATGCAGGCAGAGGCAGTCAGCTTCCCGGCTGTCGTCCCGGGGACCACATCTCCATACCCGACAGTGGTCATACTGACGGTAGCCCACCACCAGCAAGCGGGGATGGTAGCCAGGCCCTCGTTCTCCTCTTTTTCAATGGTGTAGGCCACCACAGAGAAGATGGAAATCCCCACTGAGAGGTAGAGCAAGAGCAGCCCCACTTCCTTGTAGCTGTATTTCAGGGTGGCTCCCAAGGAGCGGAGGCCAGTGGAGTGTCTGGCCAGCTTGAGAATTCGGAAGATCCTCATCAGCCTCAGGACCTGAGCCACCCTGCCCAAGTTAGCCAAGGTAGGGGAACTCTCCACCACCAGGTTCACCACTAGAGTAATGTAGAAGGGAACAATAGACATGAGATCAATAAGGTTTAGAGCATTCTTGAAGAACTTGAGAAAGTCAGGGGCCACAGCAAACCTGGCCACCAACTCAAATGTAAACCAGGCGATGCCAAAGTGCTCCACGATTTCGAACCTGGGGTCCTCGCCAGGGTTGCCCTGGCCATCGGGGATTTGGAAGTCGGGCAGGCTATTGAGGCACATGGTGATGATTGATCCCAACACCACCAAGATGGAGAGGACGCTGAAGACCCTGCTGAGGACTGAGTAGCCCGGGTTGTCCAATGCCAGCCACAGCTGCCTGCGGAAGTTGCCCAGGGGTTGCCCATCAAACTTGGAAGCGTCATTATAGAAAGCCAAAATCTCGTCAAAGGAGGACGTGGTGCTCTCCTGGTCACTCTGTTCGTCCCACTTCTCCTGCTCAGGTTCCACTTTGCGGCCGTGATAGCTATAGCTGCAGCAAGAGTCGATAAAGAACTCGTTGATACCCCAGTACTCGATCTCCTGGCTGAAGGAGAAGACGCACAATTCAGCCATGACGTGAAGCTTGCCCGTGTGGTAGAAATGCAAGACGTAGGGGAAGAGCTCAGGGTTACGGTCGAAGTAGAACTCACGTTGGACGTCGTCGTAGTCATCGCAGAGTTCCAGAATTGCCTCTCGCGAGTGGCAGAGAAGCAGACGGCCCAGGCGCGTCTCAGGGAAGCGCAGCAGCGTGTGGGAACGCAGCCGTCTCTTGAAGCCGCCCACATTGATGCGGATCTCTCCATCCTCGACGTCGGCCTCGGACAAGTCCCACAGGCTCTGGCGGGTCATGCTGGAGATGCCCAGGCGCCCGCTCCGCGCGGGGGCGCTACACCTGAAAGCAGAAGAAACAGCAACTGTGTGAGCGCCCGCACTCTCCACCCCAGTCTCTCTTTTTCTTTCTCCCCACCTTCCTCTGGAGGGCCCAATCCTCTCCAGCAGGGTCTCTGTGTGCGGTCTGACACTGGGGTGCCGGAATGATTCTATGGAGGTTGACCCCTTCCCAAGGCAAGGCAAGGGTGTATGTTTCTACGAGTACAGCCGGGCCTCCACCTCCTCCCCGGAGTAGCGCCCAAATGCTCTGAGAGCCCATGGGGGCTGCGTGCTGACCTTGCCTATGAGCAGACCAAGGAGACGCCCCCGCCCTCTCGCCGCAGACAGGCGGGACCCAAGCTGAGATGCGCACTGGCAGGGCTGGGCCAAGAAGCGGGTGCGGAGATTTGGGAGGGGGCGGGGAAATTCACCGCTCCAGTCCGTAAATCTGGGCCCAGGGGGAAAAGGGTCAACTCAGCGTCCCAGGTCTCCAGCCTCCAAAGACCGATCCCCTTCCCAGCCCCCTCTCCACCCACAACCCAGCGCCCTACTGGCGCCGTGCCCCCGGCCGCGTGCGCTGCGCCTTCCCCGGGCTCGCCTTGCGCGTTCTGGAAGCGCTTACCTGGGTGCACCGGCGCCCGCGGCCGAGGCCGGCGGGAAACTTCCCCGATCTGCTGGCGAGCATCATCGCGGTGGCCACCGCCGGCTGCCTGCGCGAGTGCGCGCGGGTGCGAGGATGTGGATGTGTGCGCCTGTGTGTGTGCCCCGCCACCGGGCAGGCGGGGTCCGCCGTGCGCCTCCTTCAGTCTCGGGCCCCACACACGGCCGCCTGCAGCCGCGAAAGGCTCACAGGTGGCTGCGTGGCCCCGACGCTCGTGGATCCCCCCTCTTCCGATTCGCGCGCCCCTCACCCGCCAAGAGAGTCAGGAGCCCACGCCGCAGGCGCCCGCGGAGCGGGGGTGGGAACCGAGCCCGTGCGCCTTGCGGTGGGCCCAGAGCCCCAAGCCGCGCGGTGGTGCTGAACGGACAGCTCCGTGCGCTTCAAGCCTAGGGCTCAGCCGCCGCCCCAGACTCCGAAGATGTTCCGGGGCGTCATTCTGCTCCCCGGGCGCCCCCCAGCTCTGCACCGAGCTGACACCTTTCCTCCCTCCCTCCGCATCCTCCGGGGACAGCTGTTATTGCCAGCACCCCAGGGCTCAGGCAGAAGGTTACCTACGGTGACTTTCTCTCTCGCTGGATCTGTAGGAGATAGACTAGGAAATGAGGGATGACTTTGGTATGTAGGGCAGATGGGGCAGCAACAGAAGGATCTACGGGGCTTCCTCTTTTAGAAACCTGAAGAAAAGTTTCCCACACCTGAAAATGGGGTTATTGGAAAATAGGTGTTGCCGGAGAAGACAAGTTGAGCCATGGCAGGGCTGTGGGTGGAGCAAGAGGCTGGGAGGTGTGCACAGGTCCTGTTGGCTTGGGAAGCAGTGAAGGAGTTCGGTTTGAGAATTCTGTGTGGGTACCGTGTATGCACAGGCCAGTGTGGTTGTGTGAACTCAAGGTGGGTGCTTGAAGTTCTGTGCACGTGTGTGATTGAGAACAGTAGGAATTTCCAATGTCTGTGAACAACACTAACGTAAGTCTTCTGATGGATGGGAAGTCGCATACAGCATGCTGTGTCTGACTATGTATGTGTCAGTGTGACATGTTTGTGATGTGGGACTGTGTGCTATGTAAACAGTGTGACCTCGGCACCGGTATGCTCATTCGCAAGACTTAGGGTTCTCCTACTGACCCAAACTGGAAAATGGACCCTTATTCCTGAGTCTCCCTTTGGTCTCTGGGCCTGTGGTGTGGTCCTTGTTTTCAGATTGTTGGGTTTATCCTTAGCACAGAGCTAACATCTACATGTCTTGGTCAAAAGTCCTAGGGTAGTTCTCATAGGGTGGCTCCAGATTCACAGGAAAACAACAGCCACAGTGGGAAACATTCTCCTTGTGTGACTCTGAGGATTCCATCTTAATGGAAAACTGTTCTGACTCTAGACTACATAACCATCTGGGGTTGGAGCTCTGGGTTAGTGTTTGTCGGGCATCTGTGAAGGTCTGGATGTTGATTCCCCAAACCACATACAAATGCAAAAGACAAGCCTGCTTTGGGCTTCCTCAGGGGGTCTGGAGAGACTGCTTGATCTAGTTTTGTGTGGGATCCCTGGATCCAAGTGTGACACATCTTGTGTCAGCTACTCACCTTTGAGCATGTGTGATATGTGTGCATGGGCAAGTGTGTCCTCACCAAGAGGACTCTACACTCATGGCTCTGCAGTCTCTGGGTGTGGGGCTTCCAACAAAAGCAATCATGTGTGGGAGGAATAGTGTGGTGTGGCCACATGAGCTTCCTTTCTTTTATGTTTGGTGTTAGAGGATGGTGGTGGTGGTGGAGGTGGTGGAGGTGGTAGTGGTGGTGGTGGTGGTGGTGATGGTGGTGGTGGTGGTGTTGATGGTGGTGATGGTGGTAGTGATGGTGGTGGTGGTGATGGTGGTGACGATGGTGATGGTGGTGGTGATGGTGGTGGTGGGGGTGGTAGTGGTGGTGTATGTGTGTGTGCGTGTGTGTGTGCGTGTGTAGGGAGTAGTCTGCCAATTGCTGCCTGTCTCTGTGTCCATTTATTTCTGGTTACTAATTTTTCTTTAATGTCTCAGCATACACAATAGCTATGACATTCTCTTGCATTTACCATTTACTTTGCTCTCGACCTCTGCTCTCCCCTGCCTTGCTGTCCCCTTTCCTTCCCCACAGTCCCCCTCTTTTTTACTTTTTGAGACAGGGTCTCTCTGTATAGCTCTGGCTGTCCTGGTACTCGTAAACCAGGTAAACCAGGCTGTCCTGAACTCACGCAGTCTACCTGCCTCTGCCTTCCGAGGGCTGGGATCGGTATGTGCCACCACACCTGGCCCCAAACATCTGTTTCTATGGGAGTCTGTTTGGCATAGTCTCACCTTATCCTCTGTATAGTCTGACTGGCTCTATCTTTTGAAGTCTGACTGGGTCACAGTTTGGGGACTCCTGGGTCTCCTTCACCCCCATTGTGTGCTGCTGAGATGGTGCCAGACTTTGCGGGGTGGGGGCAGGGACTTTGGTGAATGTGTGATCTCTGGCTTGCTGGCTCTCACTTTCTCAGTCCTTCCCACGCCTTGGGGAGTGGCTGTGAGGTCTCCACACTGCAGGCTCCCTGGAGCAGCATCTGGAGACAACCCCTCTCTCTAACCTGCACCTTCTTCCTCTCAGTTGACTTCTGGCAAGCCTAAGTCTTACAGTCACCTTTGCTACATACATCTGTGTGGGTTCTGGAGCATGTCACTATTCCCAGACACTCCCATTCCTTCAGCCTTGACTCCGGACTCCTCAGCACCTTGGCTCCTTGTGTTCTCTGTTTGTTAATCTTTTTTCCCGCTGTACTTTGGGGGGTCTATCCTCCTAGGAATAGGACATGAGATTGACGACTCTGGGGTTTTCTTTCTCAGTTTCTTTGTCTCGCTCATCCCTTCTTCCTTTCTGATTTTAGGAGACTGTTTATGGAGAAAGAAATTCTTCACTTTTGTTTCTTTGTCCCTCCCTGGGGTATGCCCCTCCCCTACACCCTTCCCACAGACTTCTGGGGCCCTCAGACTTCCTATTTCCCCATCAAGGGCCCTCCCTGCCTCCCTCAGCTCTGCCGTTCCACCCCCACCTTGGACGCCCACCTTCATCTTCTAATGTTTGCTTATTTTCTCTGTGTTTGTCTCCTGACCCTCATTCTCCTCCATACCCCAGGCTGCATTGGAGCCCCTGGTCTGTACCTGGGCTTGGTTAGGTTTTCCTTTGAGGCCAGGATCAGGGATAAAATCCCACACCCACCTTTCCCTGAGTTATCAAAGTGAATTTGGAGCCCACAGGGAGAAGCTGCATATCAGCTATTTCTTGGAAAGGCCAAGCAGAAGCTCCTGGACCTGGCAGATGCCTCTGCAGAGAGTTAAGTGTATGTGACAGGCAGAACCACTTGTTTATTTCCCAGTCAATGCACTGAAGAGAAATGGAGCCATCTCCCTCCTTCTGTGGCAGGGAAGCTGGTTTTGTTTATGGTTTATTTAGAGGTCTGAGTCCTGATCTTAAAATATAACTGCCTGCTTCCCTGGCGGTATATGTCTAGCTTGCCTGGGGAGATAGTGAGGGAGTGGAGGAGTGGGGAAAGGCATTCTGGGAAGGGAACTGAGGGGATCCTGGGTGGTGACCCAGATCCTTGCACCTGGGTGACTGTCTCTCTGCTTCCCCTGCCAATGCAGATCTCAACGGAGCCCACACAGCACAGACTCAGCTTTCCCCTGACAGGCGAGGGGGCTGCTTCAGCGGCCTGTTGGGTGAGCTGGCTGCCTGACCTACATTCCCCACTCTGCAGAAGAGCCAAGCCCCATCCCTCCCTTGGGATGTGGTCCCTGACCCTGATGGAGTGGACCAGTCTCACTCAGACCTATCCTGTTGGCCACCAACTTGCCTCCCACTGCAGCCCACGTGTCCCTTACAAATACAAGAGAGTCATGTCTTGCCTCCTAAAAATCTTCCAGGAAGCCAGGGGCTTCCTAATACACTGACAAGGGAACTCACTTGGCTGTCAGTGTTCCAAGGCTCTCCATGATGCATCTCTGGCCACCTCTTAAACTTCATCTCTGTGCTGTCTTTTGTGCCCTGGCCATATGTCCCCTTTGTCCCTGTGGCCTTTGTACCCTCGATCATGACAGCTTCACATGACAGATTTTTTTCCCCCTTGTCATTCAGGGCCTGTTTTTAAATGCCAGCTCCTCAGAGGCATGGCTTCCCAGACAACTTCTGTGAGCCCCCAGCCTGCTTCTGTCTGCGTCTTCACCATGCATATATTAAACAGCTGTTGAATACCAATTAAGGGTGAATGAACAGGGCTCTGGTTGCCACATGAGGTTGTTCCATGACAAAAATCTTCACTTCAACTCCTCTTGAAGGAAAAGGAGAAATGTGGCCAGAGAAAGAGCCAAGCTATGGAGGTCTGTCTTCAGCAACTGACTGGATCTAGCAATCCAGTGGCTCTCAGGGCTCGTCAAAGTTCCCATGATGCCTTGGGCATGGAAGCAGACCAATTGACCCAGAATCTCTGGCTTTTTCAGAAAGCTCCCAATGGAGCCCAGATTGTTAGTGTTAGTGAAGGTGTCCCCAGAGCTGTGTACCATGACCCTGGGGTCAGCTCCGAGAGCAGTGCCTGCCTGTGAAGCAAGCTCCATGACTTTTTACCGTCCTTGCCGGTCAATCCTCACTTGCTGAAGGGCTCCTTGTGCCTGCTGGTCTAGGAATTCCTAACCTTAGAGGGAATTCATTTGCAATAAAAAGTAATCATGTTTTGTTTTTCTCCATGGACAAAGGCTGGCTCCTTAGGCCCTTATAACACCGACAGTGGTAACAAGGACTGAGGACGGGAGAGATACGCTTGCTGTGTGATCATGACGACCTGAATTCAGTCCCCAGAACCCACGTGGAAACCCAGGCATGGGTACCATGCACTTATAACCCCATCCCTGGGGAGGCAGAAAGAAGGGAGCCTTCAGGGCTTGCCAGCCAGCGGGTCTAGACTAGTCGGTGAGTCATAACTAATAAGATCTGGTCTCAAAACCCTTGGGAGCGACAACCAAGGTTGACTTCTAGTCTTCACATACATGTGCATGTATATTCACATGCAGACACATACATCACTCTATGAACATGTGTATACACATGTACATGTACAAAAATAAAATAAAAATAAGAACTAGGGGCTGGGGACATGACACAGCAGTTAAGAACATTGCCTGTTCTTGCAGAGGATCCAGATTCAGTTACCAAAATCCAGTTCCAGAAGACCCAACACCTCCTTTTGGCCTTTTGCATGCACCATACATGCACATATATGTACAAACACGTACAGGAAAGACACTCACGCATATAAAATAAAATAAAATTTTAAATGGACTAAGGAGAAGGCAGACAGATGACCACTTTTTGGAGGACTTATAGCAGAAGTCCTGGGTTGGAGCCTGGGCTGGGAGAGATGGAGGGAACAGAAAATAGAGACCTCAGAGCTGGAGAACTTCTGAGCCTTTGGCCTTAAGAAGGCCACTGCTGGTGAGGGAAGGAACACAACCGTGTAGGAAGTTGGCATGATTAGGAGAAAAGTTGGGGAACATGGATTCTATGAAGTTTTGCTGCATATTATGAATGCAATTGCTCATTAAGTGTTCTCTCAGGAGATCGCAGCACATATTTATGAGGCTTTTGGGTTGCTCCTCCACACAGAACAGAGGACTTTTCTTATGAGAGTCCTTGCCTGGCCATTTGGAATTATCCCCAGGGGAAACCCCCTCTCCAGCAACAGCCCCTCCAGGCTGCCTCTCCCCAACAACAGCCCCTCCAGGCTGCCCCTCCCCAACAACAGCCCCTCCAGGCTGCCCCCTCCCCAGAAGCAGCCCCTCCAGGCTGCCCCCTCCCCAGAAGCAGTCTCTCAGGGCTGATAGGCAGGGGCTGCAGTGGGGAGGCCCCTCCACACTGGGCCTTGAGGGTCAGGGTCTTGCCCCTCCTGCCTCCTCTTTCAAGCCCCTTCTTCCAGGGACTCTCTCTATCAGCCCCACTGCTCTGCTTCCTTGGCCACTTCATTGAATTTTCCAGAACACCCTTGGGCTAGAATAATTAAGAGAAGCTTGAGTTAAGCTCAGACTTAAGGTCACCGGCGAAAACTTAGCGACATGAGAACAACAGGACTGCAAAGGTGGGTGCCGCCTGGCTTTGCCCTCCCTGCCTCGGGGTCTGACCATCTCTCTCTTCTTCCCTGGTCCTCCTCAGAAGTCCAGACACCCAGGATGGCTCCCCTCTGTCTGCTTCCCACTGCTCCTCTGTCACTCTCCTTCTACAGGTAACTCACAGATGAACTGAAGCCTCCGGCCCTTCCGCTGGCCCGATTCCCTCAGCCTGGAGAGAAGCCCAGGTTAGGACAACCTACCATTCGGCTCTTGTAAATGCATAACCAGGTGGCAGCTCCGTACACCATCGTCTGTGGCAGGTGACTGATGAAGAACAAGAGAGTGGGGGACATGAGCTGAGCGTGGTGGTGGCAGTGGTGGCGAGGGTGGTAGCCACCATCGTCGTAATTCTCGTGGTTGTCGTCATGGAGATCATGGCGGTCACGGTGAACACAGCGACAGAGAACAACCAACTCAAACACCTGATCTGGTCCTTTCCAATCCAACTTTTCCAGCCAGGGTGCCTGGACACCCACTTTTCTATGGCTAGAGTCTCTCATCTTTAAACCTATGACAACCCCTAATTCTTGGTTATTGTGTGCTGGCAGATAC